ACAGGGAATACAGATGGAAAAAACAATTAAAGTAATCAGAAGCCATCAATATTTACTTCACGCAGCAAGTTTTTAATTGTCACTTAAAGACAATCCAACACAAGGGCATAATTTAATTCAATTCAATTTTTGACTAGGGATAGAAGGACTGTTTTAAATTGTTCATCTCAAACTCAAAGATTGTTAGCTGCTTTTTAACTTCTCTGGCAGTGAACTATACTAACTAGAAATCTTAGAGCATGTGCTTTCCAGGAAAGTATCTTGGAAAATGTAATATCTGTATTTTTTTAGGCATTCAGTGAAAAATGATGGTGCATTTAACAACTGAACATCCACGAGCAGTTCCCAAACTGGCAGCAAATGGGAAATTTGGAAAGCTGCTCAGTGGGGAATACAGATCGCTAGGTACAACCTCAACAGCTCCGGGCAACACCAGAAACGTGTTGTGTTATAACCATTCACAAAATGCAAGAACCTACATGTTATTTTACTTTCATAAAAGCATCCACAAAATCCTGCCTAGTGGACTTGTTGAATAACTCCTTTGAGATGTCTGGCCTCAAAAACCATTGCTGAGCCTTGCTTGAAGTGTTTTGCAGACAGATACACTGCTTAATGCTGTTGTGAGCCCCTGCCTCCACAGCGGCAGAGCGGGCTCTCTGGGAAAAGGGATGGAAGGAGCAATTTTTCCCCGTGGTGAGTCAGCTGGAGACAAACTGATGGGGCATCAGGGCAAAAATTGAGAACTAGAGATGATCTTCCCCTCCCTACTGCAGGACGTAGCCTTAGGGCCCATTGCTGGAGGTGGCTTAAGGGGAAGAAGGCTGCCAGCATCTTTAAAAAAGCAAAATTGCTTAAAAAAATAGCTTTCCCAAGTATCAAATCCTCACAGATGGAATAATCTTAGAAAGAATTGGTAGAGAAACCCTCACCTCCTCTCACCTCTGAAATCAGTAAATGACAATCAGGTTTTTTTAAGCCTGGATTGGGACTAACTTTTGGTCAATTAAATTGAACCCAAAAGCTGCAATGGAGATGATGGATTTGTGATAATGGACTTTTGTAGAGAGATGACATTACTGCCTGTTTAAGAGGATTTTTCTGTGTATGCCACGGGCAATGAAACTTGGCTGTGACTTTTTTCCTGAGCATTCTTACTAATGAGTTAGGGACTTTACAGCCCTTTGCCGAGAGCTTTCTCGTGACAGTTTCTGTAGGGTACCGGTCTCTCCGCTCTGCCTTCAACGCATGATCAGCGAGCAAAGAAGCTGTCGACTGCAACACCTCTTGTCTTTGAATGATGCTAAGCTCCAGATTGCTGCCTTTCCCAAACTGACCACTGCAATGGAATAATCCATCCTCTGTCAGCAGAGGCTGGGACATAGCTCAGAATTAATTGGCTGAAGCTCAAACTAGATAAGCTCAAGATAATATTTATAGGTCAGAGGAAACAATTGAAAGGAACATCAAACATGACACCAGCATGCACAACCGATGGAGTTTATCTGCCCCTTGTTTTAAAACCCAACTGACTGCCTGTTGCTGGACATGCCTGGTTGAGGGTAGTTTTCATAAACGTTCTTTTTGAGTGCCATGTGTCTCTGTCTCTGGCCAAGTTCAGACTCCTTGTTTAATCTGCTTTGTATTAAGAGGTTTTGATTGCATGAATGCTTGGAAAATATCTATTCTTTGTGAAAATATTTGCCTGTGCATCCTAGCAAAGAGAATTATGCATGGACACTGTTCCTGATGGTGATACTGATGTCTGTCTACACTTCAGATACGCTTCTGTCTCTGCTTTTCCCTCATTTGAAAACAGCTGTGGACTGAGTGCCCATCACTCCAATTCATGTGCATAGAGGAGCTGTAGCTGAGGTTTAGAAGGGGTTACTTTTAGTGGCTATTTGCAGGGAGGTAAAGTATAGATGTTCATTAATGCTTTTTGTCCAGTTTATTCGTATTTGAGCAGACATCTAAGGCATCTTTCCCAAGTTCCCTAAGTTGAAATGAGTCTATATTTTGTGGGTTGATTACTCCTTTCTGTCTTCCTCCTAAAGAAATCTGTTACAGCATTGTTGATAGGACTTTATTGTATTGCAATGTATTTAAAAGCACTCTCTTGTGGTTTTGCTACACTAGCATACTTCTTTGAGATGCAGAGAAGCCCATTATCAGAGATCATCCTTTAGGGATTCTGCATCCAGCAAAAATAGCTCTCAGTTTGTGGATTACTGTGTGTTTTGATGTTCAGGCTTTGCAAGACAGAATTTTCTTTAGTAATCCACAATTGTCAGATGGAGCCTTTGCTATTCCACAGACCCAAATCAGTGTCAAAGGTCTTTCACAAGGCAGGGTAAGTAAAAAAAAAAAAAAAAAAAAAAAAAAAAATTCAGCAGCAATATGCTTATGTCCCCTCTGGGTTTACTTCCCATTTAGAAATAGTGAATACTTGCAAATTTTGAGCTGGTTTTATGAATTATTCACAACAGAAAAAGGATTCTGAGTTGCATTTGTACAATGAGAAAACACAGATGATAGATGGTTTCACATGTCCAATGAAAAATCAACCATCGCAGCTTGAATTTTGAATACCGATACCAAACTGCTAATGAATAATTTGCAGATCAGGAATTTTTAAGTGAATAATTTTAAACAAATAAATTTGAGAAAAATCAGACAAGTGGTTCATCTGCTTCTTTTGGAGCAGCTAATTCTCCCATTCACTCCCTTCTGCAGCTCAGTTGCAGTGATTTGGTTCTCAAAGGACCAAAAAGAAAATGTAAATTGAAGTAAAAAGTGTGCTGAAAAAATGATAGTGTATTACTCTGCCAATTCAGAGTGACAGGGTGTGTGAGCAATAGGGTAGGAGAAGAGCATCTGTTAAACTTGCTAAAAATATAGAATCGGGCTCTCATAATCCGCATTGACTTTGAAGAAAAGAATGGGGCATGGGGAAAAGCTTTATTCATTGAGAACACTGAAGGGCAAGCGATTTCCTAGAGTCAATTAATAACTAAACCAACTAAAACAAGTTGGGGCAACTTTTTGGCAAGATCAGGAGCATGCAAAAACATTTATGTGTGGGTTAGAAAGTAAAAACTTCTAGGTCAGTAAGAAGGCTCTGGGGTGGATTTGCTGGGGATAAGGGGGGTCCCATGGCCCGTGGTCCCCTTTCCCCCACCACACTGGTTTTTGCCATATGGACTCTGGAAGTGTGGCAGGGGAGGTGAAGTCCCTTTCCCCAGCCCACCTGTGGCTGCCTCTACAATCCGTTGTTATACTCCCAAATCCCACCATTAAAAGCCGCATATGTAGCTAAATTTTGCAGTTACATACTGGCTTTGCATTCTCATGTAGCTCCTGTTCCAATGGTGGTTTTTGTTTTTTTTTTTTTTTTTTACATGGAGGCCAGGATTTAGCTTAGCTTTTCTTTTACTCTCCTTGGTATTAATCAGATGTCATTTCTTACAAGTGTGAACTCAATTCTAGCTGTTAACGATGCAGCAGGACTCCAAACTGTTTTAGTGAATCCGTCATGCAAATTGCTCCTACCAGGAAGACCCCTACTTAGACTTGTGACAATATTCAGCCCTCATCCAGCCCTTCTAGTCTTCAGTAGCTCATCAAAACAATAACTCCAATAACAAATTCCTGGAAGCCTATAGAATACTTTAGGTGAGTCCTATTAGTCCCATTTTAGAGGTGGAGAACCAGAAAAGAAAAGCTATGTCACTCAACCTAAACCACAGTGAGCACAGTTTTCAGGGTTGGGCTTTAACTTAGGAACTGGTGGTTTCCAATGTTGTGGTTAGATAATTAAACCAGGCCTTCCTCTTCTGTTGAAGTTAATCTGTGAAAAACGAGTGCCTTCCCTTTAAGAGGTTTCCAAGCATGTACGCAAAGAGAAATTTATGACCTACAATTTATGTAAAGAACTTCCTTTTCATAAATCAATTTATTAAAGCTCTGGAGAAGCTTCCAAAGGCTCTGATCCAGCAGTGCACTTAGACATGTCCATAACTTCAAACAAGTAAATTGTCCCATTGAAGTGCTTTCCTGGACTGGGGCCAAAGAAAGTGCAGTTCTCCCCTGAGTCAAGGTTCAGATGTAAAATGGGGAAAAATAATTCATCAAAAGTTTAATAAGTTACAGAGTCACGGCAGAGCTCTGCCAGCCTTCCACATTAATGCCTCAAGCTAATAAGAAATGGCCTCAGGGAGATAATTGCCTCCTTATTGATAGGCTGTGATGAAATGTTAAACCTCATGCAGTGTTGCTGGCTTTTCCTGGCAGATTCCACATCCAGGCAAATGTGAAACTTCGGAGGTGACGTGCCTGGATCTAGAAACACTCTTGGGGCATAAGCTCCCTTTTGTTCAACTATTACTCGCTTTTAAGGATTATCCTTGTAGGAGAACTAAGCATTGCGGTATTTCAAGGATTTGGAGTATTTTGTAAGGTTTTTTAATAGTGAAATGGTTTTGACAAGAGGACTATTCACACCTTCTTCTGGACTCCTTCACTAGAAAATTCTTGGGGGACGGTACTGAACATACTGTTACACGCCGCTGGCAGCCTCGCCGGGAAACTACGCCAAGGACAGCTTCTCTAATCTGCTGAAAGACTTGTGTGTCGAGGTCATGTGCGGAGCAGTCGGAGGTAACCAGACCTTGTGCTAGCTGGGAGTGTGGAATGAGTTGTTAAATGCTAAAAAAAAGAGTGAGTTCCTAGGGACGAGAAGAAAATGTGACTCAAATTAGCAGGGTGACACCTCTGCGTAATGATACGAAGCAATGTTCTCCGCTCTGGCACCCTGACTCCTGGGGGTGCACAGTTACATATTAAGTCTGCAGACCTCCTTCGAGGTTCGCCTAAGGTTGTTGCTCAGAATGAGTGACAGCTGTCATTTTGCAAACACAAAGCTGCCAGACTTAACAGCCCATTCTTATGCATTATAAAATCCAACAGAAGAAGCATCGTACTTCCAAAATGATACTTACATCTACAATTAGGAAGTCAAGCCAGCACCAGGCATTGGTGAAATACTTCTTGAAGCCATAAGCCACCCATTTCAGGAGCATTTCCAAGACAAAGATGTAAGTGAATATTTTGTCAGCGTACTCCAGCATGGTTTTTATGTTTTTTCGATCTTCAAGGTAAATATCTTCAAAAGCCTGGAAGTACAAAAGATTGATTAAAAGCTTTTGCTAAGCTGTGTTGGAAAGCATCGGTGCTGCACGGCAAGTCTATAGTATCATTTGTACTGTCTGTGATTTCTGATATATTTTAATGTTACCACCAGAATGAGTGCACGGGCACAGATAGGACTGACCCTAACCTAACCGAGGTCTGTTCAGCTTTCCCTTACCATGGACGCATGCTTAGCTGTCTCTCTCTCCAGCCTCTACTGCCTGTACTGACTAGACATCCTTTGAGTGTAAGAGGAGCTCAAGCACCCCAAAATTTGGGAACATGAATCTGTGAGCAGGATGCCACTCCGAGCTGCCCGAGGGCATCCTGCCTCAGCTCCCCTTGGCTGTGCCACTGCTATCGGGGCACCTCAGATGTCCCAGGGCACAGGACGCCTGTCTGGGAGCAGAATCCAACCCTTATATTTAGTCAAATACGTCTTATTGCTAATGATGATAAATTGGGTTATTAACCTGCCTCTGTTACAGAGTACCAGAGTTCCCTGACTTCTGTTCAGCCATCACATTTCACGTAGCTACAGCTATCCGCCTGAAGAAATGCTCATTATTATTCACTTAACAGAACAATTGTGTTTTAAAGGTCAAGGTATCTATCTACCCATCTCATCTGTCTCTCTAACTAATCATCTTATGCATAGCATCATCAAAGGACTTTCAGTATCTGTATCAAGCACAAGCAACTTAATAACCCCTTTAAAATATTTAAGATATAAAATGATACACCTCCTAAAATAAAACAAATAAAATTGCCTTATAATTTAGCATTTACATCAAATAAAATGCAGGATCCTAGTGTCAGGGTTGCATATTTACAACCCATTTTGGGGTTTCTATGTTGAGCAGGGGTTACGGTCTGCTTCCCCAGCTACTCAAGTGACTGTCATTACACCAGCTGCTCCCGCGTCCCTGTACCATGGATGACTGGATGACCCGGGTTTTGATATGTTACTCTTGTCCCACCGTGTGACCCAGAGCACTTGGCAGCAAGAAACAACATTATTTGAGAGGGTCTGTGCTAATCATCTTAATTACCTGCATTTAACTATTTCAAGATCTGTAGCTACTTTCTAAGGAACTTCAAAAAGTTAGCAAACACCCGGTGCCTGGAGATACAAGAAGCGTGTTACTTGTCACTCAAGCAGTCACACTGCTCTTTTGCCTGCCAGGGAACAGTAATTAAACTGACAAGAAAGCTTTGGCAGCCTGTGCCAAAGCTTGTCCATTTGTCCCCACACTTCGGGGTGATGTTTTCGCTGCAACTCGGTCTCCTATCTTGCCTTCAAAAATGATATTTCAAGGGTGTGAAAGAGCTGTTGGAGAAAGCAACAGAAAACAATACACAGAGAGATTGGAGTTTATCACTTCTTGTAGGGGCTCACTCACTTTGTCAGATGACTTGCTGTACTTTGCAATTACTGCAAAAAATAACAACAAACTATTTAAAGTGATTTCCTCTTCTCCTTCCTTTGCTTTCCCTATTTTCTACTAACTTGTCAAAAAGTACATTGTGTTTTGTCTACTAAAAGCACACTGTGAGTCAGGAAGCAGCTTAATAAAGGATGAAAAACAGGCTACCTGAATGCCTCAGGTGCACTGTACTTTTGCACGAGCTATGGATATTACCCAAATGACAAAACTCTGGTGCTTTGCATTTTTTCACGGTGACAACAGATGAAATCTTTGCAACATAAAACATCATCAAGGGTTATTTCTTCTGCTTTGCTTTGTGTGTTAAGAAAAAGAGTTAAACAGGATACTTGCAGTGTTATCCACAATTACTATTAAAACACAGGGTCTCAGTTTGGGTGTTTATGGCCTAAATGTATAAGAAATTTTTTTGGATATTTTGCAGTAAGTCATAGATATATTCTGGTGATTCAACTGCCATACAAAGCTATGCTGGCTTTTAAACTCCCTTGAAAACTTAGCATGTCCTAGGGATGTAGCCAGATGAGCTTAGTTTTTGGAAGAGCTCACCCCAGAATATCAGAAGGAAAAAGTTGTGTGTTCCCTCCAGTGTCTCCAAATACCGAAAGGCAGTGTTGACACGTGAGAAAATGCAGCATGATTTGCCCATATATGGAATTGCACTGGCTAAATTGAAAATCGCAAAAAAAGTAAATGGATGCATGCAATGAAAATTAAATGAGATTTATATTGCAGTGCTCAGTATCTAAGACACTTTTAATTACATATGTAAGGAAGTGTATTTGTCTAAAGTGTATTATAGCAAGCGACATGCCCCCTTTAAAATGTGTTAAAAAATTAACGTGCTGATCCTCAAGCTGGTGCAAAAACTGTCAGACTTCATTGATGTCACCAAAGCTATGACAATTTTCAGCAGTCTACTATTTATCCAAGTTTTTCAGCCCCTCGCTTTTCAAAATAAAATAAAATCCACTGGGTGAAATTTCAGCACATCTCTGGTGGACCTGGAGAACGGTCTATTCCTTTCATTTTGCATCAAGATTTACATATTTCCATCTTCTTGTCTCCCTACAGAGACTTTCTTTAAACTACATAAACCCAGTACTTACGTGTTTTCCCCCTTTTTTAGGCCACTGATAATTTATGTTGCTCTCTTCTGGAGTTTCTTCAATTAGCCCATGTCTTTCCCAAAGTGCAATGCCCAGAGCTGAAGCCAGTGCTCCAGCTGAGGCCTCCCTGATGCCAACTGGAGTGGAAGAACATGCTTATTTATACAGTGGGGTCTTTGGCTTTCGCGCGGTGGTGCTGTGATGTAGCGTAGTCTATCCTCTTTGTTGCCTGTTCTCCCCCCCAGCTCTTTTAGGTAAATCTCCTACCTTACCAGTCATCCGGCATCATGCCTTTCTGCCCGTGATTATTCCTGACGAGGTGAAGCAGGAACCTATCTAGGATGATGTTCCTCTTAATATTTAAGACAGATTCATTCATTTGACTGAAGTTAATCCTGACCTCCAGGAAAAGACTGCTAACCTGTCCAAACACGGTACTGCCTGCAAATTTAGTAGGTGTATTTCTTACTCCATCACAAAGTCAAAGATTAGTGACTACCAGACCTGGAGAACTCTTGATATATCCCTTTGCTCTGCAACTGGCTAAAAATCTGGGAGAAATCCCACCAACTTCAGTGACATTCCTGACACGTGTAAATGACCCACGTAAATATATGTGTACTGGATGGGAGCTTAAAGCAATGGCCTCAAACAGAGGTGCTTAACTCTTTTATCTAAGTGAGCCTTGTGGGAACTGGAGGAGGGAAGGAAAAGGTGAGGATGAACGACTAGCACAGCAGACTGGATTCAAAGCATGGAGAGAACAAGCTGGCTCGTAAAGCCAGACTCTGAGAAACTGCATGCTGGCTGCCATCGCTACACAGAGCCCAGGGCTGATAACACAGAGGAGATAATCCCAGTAGGCAGTGGGATCTCAGGAGGAGAGGATACCTTATCAGAGTCCTGGGCAATGACCAGCCGGCCTCCATACATGCACGTTCAGCTGGATGCAAGCAGGAGCTATCTGTGCAGGGAAGGTACAGTGATTTAAGCTAAGGTGTATTCAAAACATGATAGGCACCCACTACCTCTGTGTGTAGCGCTGATTCAGTGCTCCCTGCAAAGCTGTGATTTTGTTTTGCTGGTTACAAAATGTGTCAAAAAAAAGAAAAGGAAAAAAAAAGCCATCCCTGGAGCAAAATACAAGAGTCCAGATGGGAACTACGTCAGAACAGTTACGGGACACTGAAGTAGTAATTCTGGGACACTTCCTTACGCAGACTTCCTTATGGATTTGCTTTTCAAAATATGTGCATGTCATGAATTTATGTTATAACAGAAGAAAATTCTCCCCTATATGGTAAAAGCAGGTGAAATCAGAAAAGCAGACCTGTTTTAGCCCCAAACATGCTTTGCTTTGAGAAGTGAGCAGTAAGGGCTTGTAAGGTCTTAGAGACAGCTAACTGGAGAACACCTTCTCTGAGACCCACATCCACTTTCAACCAGCTAGGAAATCCTGTAACATTTACCAGGGCTCCACTGCTCAGCAGGATCATGAATATGATGAAAGTTTCAAACCAGTTGTGTTCAACAATTCTGTAGCAGGTTTTCCGCAGCCTCCACCAAATTTTGCCCGGAAATTTTGTGATGTCCACTGAACAGCATGGGAAGAATCGCACACAAACTGAAAAGGAGTGAAACAAAAACAAAGCAATTGTTAAAAAAGCCCATTTGATTCTTAAAGCTGCAATAAGGAGCTGCTAAACAAGATTTCTTCTAGCAATAAACTGCTGCATGGAGTCTTTCCTTCCTTGTTTTTCTTACCGACCTCTTCTGCTCTGCCTTCCTTTTGCCTCTCTCACTCCTCTATTAAAAAAACCCCAAACATTCAAAATCACTTAAAACTTGCCCCAGTGATTTCTCCCAATGATTTTTATGATACAGAATATGTTGGCCACGAGTCACCAGTGCCTTAGGTTGATCGCATTGTGTTAGCTGAGCTCAGGTAGCACTGCTGATCAGGACTAATGACTCTAGCCGGATATTACCAATAGTTTCCACATACTTTTGAATGGAGGAAGGATATTTTCTTAGTACTATGATACTGCTGGAATTACTGATTAACAGTAGCAATCTGATGAAAGGGAGATGAGGGGAGGAGGTGCTGGGGACCAATATGCTGAAGGGACTCAGACAGCAAAAGCAGGAGCAGATTTTGATCTCTTGGACTCTCATGGGCTTGAACAAGGCATTAGAACAGCTTTGGAAAGGTATTTAGGAGGTTAAATCCCCTTTGATGCCAGCAGAAATTTAGATATCCAGGCTCTGTCCACAGTGGGTTCCCCACTGCTACTTCATAGCACTTTCTGACCTGAGTGACAAACACTTTGTGACAGTTAAATGTTGTGGTGGTAATGGGCACCACACACGGATCTCTGATAGGAAAAGCCATGGCCATTTTTAGTCTTTTTAGCAACATTAATTTGCTATAGCAAAAAGATATTGTCATTGGGAATGGACAGATCCATCTTTCCCATTTAGAAAAGCACCATGTGCATTGCCTCATGCTGGGTGTGAACTTAAAATTGTGTGAGAGGACACCCTGGTAGCCAGGACTTGTCCTTTTCCAGGCTGGCCATTCAGCCTTATGTTGGATAATTTGACTCAAATTTCACATTTGCTGATAATGACCCTCAGAAACTACTTTATTTCCAAAAAGCAAGCTTTTTACCCTACATCTAATCCATGTGTTGTATAGAAAGAGACTTAGCTAATGGAGATTTATAAGTCCCATCATGAGAAAAAAAAAAATCACAGGCCAACTGCTTCCGTAGCTGAAAGGTGGCCAAGGTCGCTAGCATGTCTTGAAGTACACAACAACTGCTCAGAAGTGACAAGAGAGGACATCTCACTATGGTGATGTAATGCAATGTTATTGCAAGTAGGAATAATATGTAGGCAAGGAAGCTGGGGAAGGAAAGAGGGTGAGTGCCAAGGTTACGCAGGCAGCAGATGCTGCTAATTCAAGGTGGCATAACTGAGGCGCTTGAGCTGCATGTGATATGCGAGGAGATCAAGTGCAACTCCCGGGATGCCGGGATTCCCAAGCAGCTGGAAGTGGGTCTGTGCTGGCAGCAGACTCTGCCAGGAGGAAGTCTGCTGTGGTCCTCCTGGCATTTTCTGTACTTTTTTATTATCCCATATCCCTTCTATGGAGCAGCAGAACTGTAGGATGTGATTATCATGTTTCGTACATGAATCATTCCCAGAGCTCCCCTTTCCCTCACATTTCTGAGGTGTTTGGTAGGTGTAGGGTCTTGGTTCTACGAGGTTTTGGTATGGGTGTGACAGGACAGTAAACCATTTATGCAAAAGTAATGGGACAGTGGTGCAAGTAACTACCTGTCCTCTAAAAGCTTCCATCACACAGACCCACACCAGTTTCCAGCTTACCACTGTGTTCTGGAATTCAGAGAAATTCTGGGCTCAGTTGAAATACACTAATTTAATCAAAATATTTGAGAAGGGCATAATGCTAGGAGAAGATAGAAGTGTAAGAAACATCTCTCTGCCTCTTTGTAGGTCAGGTACCACTCCAGCAAAGGAAAGTTTTACCCCTCTAAGCATTTCAATGATGAACACCAAAGAATCATGTCAAGGGATAAAAGGATATCATGTTAGTCACTACTTTTTGCTAAAACCAGTACAGTGCTCAGAGACAGTAATGTGTGTGATTTGGGTGTATTTTAGGAAGTAGGTACATGGAACAGACTTCAGGAATGTAATACTGCATGGTACCAGCTAACATACTCATATGGCAGCTCTGCTTAGAGATGCCCATGCAGTATAGTCCCACCGGCATGTCACGACAGAGGGGACTATTAGTTGCATCTCTTAGCAGTGCTGCCAGAAAACTCTTACGCTACTCTTTC